ATCCACGTGATCAACAACCTTTAAGGTCTCAGTCAACACTCCTCAGCAAAGATCCAAGATGAAGCATACTGAGGATACACTTCCAGTGCCAAAAAAATGAAGTAGATTGCAAAGCACACCTTACATAGTTCTTAACTTAGTTCTTAACTTTGAAGTGTCATGTAAACACCATCATTTATAATGCTAAGTAAAAAATTATTCATAATTAGTTTTGATGAGCACATTAACATATAAAATTTTGATAATGAAGTTCAAACGTGTATTGTAGAATATCTTTTTTTCTGGTGACTGAATATGTAATAGACTGCTTTTAGCATAAGCCAGGGAAATGTAACACATTTTGTTCTCTCAGTTGCATATGTCCTTCACGGGAACATTCCTGTTCACTACTTGTTCTAAGTGATTTACATCAGTGGTTGTTAAGAACCACTTAGTTAGACTTTAACCTCTCTTCTGTGTGGCTTGAGTCTACTTTAACTAATCTCTTACCATCCAATCTGGTCTTCAAGAGAGAAGATAGTCTCCAGAGACCTTGCTTTTCTTGCATAACACAGTGTTAATAATGGAAATTCAGAAGCATGCAAAGTTCATTAGTTAAAGTAGTGTATATTTTTACTAGTTATATGCTATGTGAATTCACTGTTTCATTGACTATTCAAATACTTAAACTCTAAGAACTTTGTATGTTGTTCACAATAGTAGTATTTGTAGGTCTGTGTGAATAAAAGCATTTCTCAGATGTAAAACAGAAGTGTAATGTTTTAAAACAATGTCACAAATCATTTAAATAGGGATACAGGTGGACCCATTGCAACAATGAGATGTATAAGTCGTTATGTCAAAAAATGAACTTTACAACTTTGGTGGGAGGGGGGGCGGGGAGGATTTGGTAGGGGGGGGGGGGGAGATGGGAAGGGATGGGAAGGGGAAACAAAGGAGGAGGCTACAATGCTTGATAAGAAATGTACTCATTATCTTGCCCATGTAATTGTAACCCCTCTGTACAATATTTTCACAATAAAAAAATAAAAAATTAAAAAAATAAAACAATGCACATCAAAAAATAAAAAAAATGTCACCTTAATGTACAATATATTTTTTCAGTCTAGAATAGAGTATTGTATTTTCATTTTTGCAAATGTAAGCCTTTGGTATCAATCCCTCAAATATTATTTTTGTGCAGATCACTTTTTTTTTTTGTCGGTTATGGGGCTTGAACTCTGGGCTTGGGAGCTGTCCCTGAGCTCTTCAGCTCAAGGTGAGTACTCTACCTCTTGAGCAACAGCGCCACTTCTGGTTTCCTGTTGGTTAATTGGAGATAAGAGTCTCACTGACTTTCTTGCCTGGGTGGGCATTGAACCATGATCCTCAGCACTCAGCCTCCTGAGTAGCTAGGATTTGTGGGGATAAAATAAAAAGGCATAATTCATAAAATGATTTTCATGTGGTTCAGTTTGTTATTAATATATCACATTAAATTATAAATTGAGTGGTATTGAAATGTAATCAGAATATCAGGGAGGTAATATAATTCCAATAATTTTTCAATTACCCAGATGAAATACTCATTTACAGTATGCTTCGAGCTGTCAACAATTACCTTGGGTAGCTCCTCAATTTGATTGGCATCTAGATAAAGCTCCTCCAATGTCCGCTCGAAGTTAAAGACCTCCTTTGGCACCTGTTGAAGGCTGCAGTGGGAGTAATCTAACACAGAGATGATTTCTTCTTCACCTCGGAAACATCGGCACGGCACCAGACGGCCAATGATTTTCCGTTTGGTGGTCATCTCCAGGCACTGCACTAGGAGAGACAAAAGACAAGTGTTTAATTAACTGCTTTCCCAAAAGCATTCTTGTAAAATCTTTAGCACTTCCAAATGTAACTCTTATATATTTCCTGGTTCTGTAACACTTTTGATAGGACACACACATGCATTATACCCTTGAATCCTCAAGTAGTCCTATAAGATACATGACACATGTTTTATTCCCATGTAGCAAATTAAAAAATAGTGGGACCAGAGAAGTTGAGATGTTCACATCATCACTTAGTTTTAAATTACAGAGTCAGAGTACAATCTGGTAGCACCCCAATGCTATTATCTTGCTTACATTCTCATTGAAAACATGGATCCATAAGATATTCTTTTACACAAATTACAGTATAGAAAAAACTTCCAGAATTTGTTGGAACAGATATTTTTCCTGCATTTTCAAAAATATTCAAAAGTTATTCCTAAAGTTTTTTTGATCCACATATTAATTCTATTAGTAAAGAGTTATTTACTAGATCATTGAACATTAACTGGATAACAGATTCTTATCTAGACAGTGAATATAGCGATGAATCAAGTCTCTCTTTTTGTGGAGTTTATACTGTGTTATTGTTCCAGATTAAGTTTGAATTGGTTATTCAGCATCTAACATTTGAAACAATGTAGGAAATTCTGTGATATACTGGACATATCTCTTTCCTATGTTTCTAGGGTAAAACTCACAAAATCTCATAAAACTTTATAGACAGGTATCATGGCACCTTCAACAATGTATTTAATCTACTGTTTTTCATGTCATCGTCTCCTATACTTCATGCTTTGAAGGATAGTGATGCATTTTATTCATCTTTGAGTTCACTTTGGTGCCTAACATAGTATTATTCTCGAACAACTGCAGAATTAACAAAGCAATGTGGATAAATAGATACATTAAAATTTTCCTCCTGATCAGTATCAACAGCTGACAGTGCTATTGAGAAAACCTCATTCTAGCTAGAAGGTCACTATCTCTATGACTACTATGCCCCCAGGAAGAGTACACACATTGCTTTCAGAATGTGTGCTATTTCTTCAGATATGAGGTGAATTCTTTTTTTTTTTTTTTTGGGTCCGGTCATGGGGCCTGAACTCTGGGCCTGGGCGCTGTCCCTCAGCTCTTCAGCTCAAGGCTAGCGCTCTAC